TGTCCAGATGAGTTTACAACCTCAAATTAAAAAAACCAGGGCAGTATGTAAAATCAAAATGAAAACAGAAAATAGTGATGTGTAAATCATCTGTGTCCTGTATTACACTGAAAGCAATACAGCAGCACATTATTGTATTTGATATGCCATCAGTTTTATATTTTGTTCAAAATAAACACTTCAATTCTGATGCCCGCAACACATTCAAAATAAATTTGGGACGGCTGCATTTCAGGACCAGTAATGAGGTAAAACAATGAAATGATGATTCCATGTGGAACAGATGATGTCAACAGATGACTGCATCATGACTTGGTACAAAAGTGCATCCAGGAAAGGTCGAGACCTTTAGGAGCAAAGTTGGGCCAAGGACCAACAGTTTGCCAACATATGCATGAGAAAATTACTGAAATGTTTATAAATAATGTTCTTTAAAGTAAGATGGAAGGATTCCAGTGCATAAAAGGCACAAGCCTAGCTGGAGGACCATGCTCTCCGATCCCTCAGACAGCATTGCATCAAGATTCGTCACTGTTCTATAAGCGATATAACCACATGGACACAGGATGACTTTGGCTCACTTGTGTCAGGCACTACAATATGTAGTTCCATCCATAAATGCTACTTAAAACAATGTCAACAGTGTCCAGAAGCTCAGACGAGTGCTGTGGACTCAGAGGCATCTGGGATGGACTGTTGTACACCTTAAGACTTGTTTGCAGGAAGAATGGGACAAAATGACACCTGACACACTGAATCACTTTGTGTCCTCAGTCCCTAAACGTCTTTTAAATGTTGTGAAAAGGAACGGCAACATCACACTGTGGCAAATGCTTTAGTGTCCCAACTTTTTTTGGAATGTGTTGCAGACATAAGAATTGAAGTGAGTGTATATTTTGAACAAAGAATGAAGTTGATGAGGTATCACATCAAATAATGTGCTGCTGTGTTGTTTTCAATGTAATACAAGGACACAAATGATTTACACATGACTATTTTCAGTTTTAATTTTGATTTTATATACCATCCCAACTTTTTCTGATTTGGGGTTGTATTCTGAGCCATCACAATACACAGTACAATGTATATGGAAAGTTTTCAGACCCGTTAAGTTTTCCGCATTTTTTCATGTTTCAGACTCATCTTAAAATGGATTCATTTTATTTTTTTCTCATCAATCTACACACAATATTTCACAATGACAAAGTGAAAAGAGGTCCTTAGAGTGTTTTCTTAATGTATTTAAACATTAACATGCCATTTCCACAGGTATTCATCCCTTCACTTAGTACTTGGTTAAAGCACCTTGGGCAAATGCAGGCTTGGTACACCTTTTCTTTTGGAATTTTTTCCATTCTTGTTGGTAGAATTGTTCAAGGTCGAAAAGGTTGGATGTGAGTGTTGGTGCACAGCCCTTTTCATGCTCTATGGAGTTCAGGTCAGACTGACCAATCAGTCTGATGACCTGTCAATATACAATGACATAAAACAGATACAGACTAAATCTTCTCATATTTTATAAGCTGGAATCAGTTAATGCTTTTACTTTTTGCCAAATAAATTATTTTAACAATTAACTGTTCATCAAATTTCTTGTCAAACACATTTCTGTTCACTGACTAAACAAGGCCACTAGACCTACAATATGTAGGACTTTCATGGACTGATAGTACTATGAAAACCTACATGAATATGAGCATATAATATATGTGGGGCCTTTACATGCATCCTCATGGACTCACTTCCCCACAGTCCTCACTCTTGTTAATGTACTAATTCCCTATTACGACCTGTTTACTTTCACTGCAAGCCACAAAGTTTCAAAGTAAATGGAAGGTGATTGACTCTGTTTTGTTTCCAAACATTGTTGACTCTCTGGAACTTTTTCATTGCTTCAAAAATGTTGAACCCAACCAGAAGCACTAGGCCTGACCCAGCTGCCAAGCCAAAAAATATTTTGAATTTATTTTGTCCTTATTTGACCAATTAAAATTCTTAGAACCTGCATGACCTCTATCTGCAAACATCCACAACTCACCATTGGAATCATTGGAATATTTGTAGTGAGTTATCATAGAAAGATTTGTTTAGAGGCTAGGTTGGAAAGTTAAGTTTCCTGCCCCCTGTTCATAATCCATTGTCATGTAAGCGCTCAGACACTTTCTTCACACCTCACTCTCTCTCTCACATAACCATCTGTAGGTAGTCTCTGCCATCTACCAACCCGAGTTTCCTTTTAAATCAGGAGAGCTTAAAAAATCCAATGAGAGTGACACAACATAAAAAAATGAACCAGGGAGAGAGTACAGATGGATATACAACACATCAGCCACAGCGGAAGAAATAATGGAAGGAGTGAAAAAAAAGGGAATGTATGAGAGGAGAAAAACAAAGGGAATGAAATAAGGCTTGAGGAGAGAAACCTGCCCCCTCACCTGCTCCACTCTCCTCCTCTGCTCTACTCATAATTCTCCTGAGTGTGTCGCTTACTCCTCGCCTCTGATAAATCTTACATTATCGGAGGCCTACAGGCTCCTGCTGTGGCTGTTTCTTAGGCCTGACATGCTCAGTCTCCCTAAGATTAAGTCCCCAGGCACCTTCATACATACACACCTAGACAGCAGTGGTAACAACAACACTCACAAACATGCACGCACACACATTTTTCTATAAACACAAATCACTTTTGATGTGGAGGAATCACTAGCAGATTGCAGGCTGCCAGAGAGCTGAGCACAGCTGCACAGAGAGGAGAACAGCAGTCCTGAGGCAGGGGCAAGGGCAGGGATGGTACAGTACAGTAAAGACCCCAGATGTTCATGGATAAGAGGTGCAAGACAACTTGTGCTGACTTTTGCTCTGGGTACCCTTAGTGTTCCATAGCCCCTTGGCAGGATGCTAAAAATGTATAAGTTCTGGTCATCATTTGTCTACGTGAGCCTCTGCAGAGATTTCTGGGTTGTATGATAATGTGTACACCTGCAGCCTGTATCACAATGCAAGATTAGTGGCCTAACCAGCTTTGGGTTACACAGCTGACCTATACATCAACAACTTGACTAGTGACCAGTTCAATCACTGGAAAAATAGTCATCATTCCTACAGCATCCTACAGGAATACTGAGTTACATTAAGGTGACAAGTCATAAAGGGCAACAGATACATTTTATAGATCAGTACCACCACTTTGCTTTACGTGATAATTATATCATATAGAAAAAATACTTTTTTGGCCAACCACAGGTTTATTGTGGGTTTACAACAAGACTTTTAACAGATGACAATAACAATCGTGTCTTAATAGTCACAGTTATTGATAGTCTTAATGTAACAGTGATTATAGTTATGTATTAATTAAACACAGTTAATAAGATTAGTAATGTATAAATGTAACATATTTCATATTCATTCTAAAATAGTGAGCATGTTGAAAATATTGCTGATCATATTTAAAAGGCACCAGTTGATAACTATCTTCATAAAGCTAGTTATCCAGGATCACTAATGTTAGCTTCAGTGAAACCAGTTAGTGCAAATATAGAACAGCCACACAAAGTAGTGATGTGTTGTTCATGAATGATTCATTCATTCTGAATGAATCTTTCCCATGACTCGAGAACATCGGGTCGTCTCAGGGAGTGATTCGTTCATTTTGTGTTGATCATGCATGCACAACATCACATAAGCTCAGTATTACTGACAAAGTGTTGATGATGACCAGAACCTAAAAATTTGTCACGTTACAAAAACCAACGACTTGAAACTGAGGACTGGAGTCATTCGCTTTTGTACTAATCTTTTAAAGATTAGTACACCTTTCGAGTCGTTCGTTTTTGTAACGTGACATGACCTAAACTAGTTAATTTTCAACCGTCATTACAGTTTTTTTTTTTATTCTTAATGTTACGTGATGCATTTATATTATAAAATAGCTTTTTATTTCCTACAGACTATACTTTTGTGAAGTAACAGACTGCATAGCCTCAAGACACAGGTACGATATTACTTATAATATGACCTTGGCTGCATTACAGTTCTTTCTTATTCAAAACGTGATCAATATGTGCGTAAGTAGATGAGGAATTAACATGTAACTTTTTAATTAAATTCTGCTGAAGTGAACGAAATGAATGAAATGACTCGAAAAAAGATTTGTTCATTTTGCTGAATGAGATTCAAAGAACCAAATCAGTAAAATGATCCGAACTTCCCATTACTGACACAAAGCTGAAGTTGCTGCTCCTGTTGTCCCTGCATTACTTGTTGTCATGTTTTTAATTTTAAATCAATGTATAAACTAGACTTGAAAATATGTGGAGTACTCAGTGAATTGCAATTTTAGCAGTTTTTTATTTAGTTAATTGTAAAGTCACTTTATATTAGTATGGCGGTAAAACACATTTATAGATGCAGACAGTTGTTGGTAACTTCATATTTTCAACTGGTTGACATGTTACCAATATCAGTTTTAAAACTACAAATTGTAAGTGAACAGAGCAAGAGAAGAGCTGTTGAATAATAATTATTAACTGTCTTAAATAACTATCATTCTAGAAAAATGTATTTCATGTTACAGTTTAGTTGTACTGTATGCAAATATTACTTCTAGGAGACAAGGTTGAGCTTCCTTAATGCTCAGTTCTTTGGCATTTATTATATATTGTCTACCTGCTTTGTTTAGTTTATATTATATTAAAACAAAAATAATAATAAAACAAAACTGCCACTATTAATCCCTCCACCTGTAAGAATCTTTACATTCTCCTGTTTCATGCATGATCCTCACAATCTCATCACATTCAATGTCAGCTTTCACCTCTTGAAAGCAGGTCGAGAAGGAACTATTTTTAAATGGAGTCATTGTCCATAAAAATGTCTGTGCACATCTTTGTGCATCCCTTACCTGCCTTAAAACCTTACCAGTGTGTTTTGAGAAATATAAAAAAATATTTACAGTGAAACCTTTACAGACCTCAGAAGGAAAAAGGAAGCCAACATACCTGTCACTGTAAGCAGCGGCAGCAGTACCAGCTGGCTGGGCATATCTGTAAGCTGCATACCCTCCCTGAGGTGAGATAGAGGAATTCAATATGATCTCAAATTAGGAATGAAATATTGTCACAAAAATTAAGCTGCAAATCCAACAGGTAGGTAGGATCAGAAGCTCAAGACACTGAGGACCACATTATTTTCTGGACTGATTATAGTAATGAACTTATTAAAAAGATTCATACAAATAGATTTTAACTTACATATATTTCTGCCCCATAAAAGCCATCTTGGTAGACCACACTGTTGACAGAGGATATCAAACATTAAGCTTTTTTTTTTTGCACCAAGAGAACATGAAATGAAATTTGAAAAAGTGACATGGTGTTTGAGTTAGGAATTTCTTAACCAAAGAAGCACAGCTACAATATAAAGGTTCTGTCTGTTCTGACTGAGTGGAATTTAAGTTAACCTAAAATGTAGGAAATTCAGTTTGTCTTGCATCCCTGATATACTCCTGTGGACATAGACAGCAGCTCTCTCTCTCATCAACAGCCTCAAAATTATGAAGCAGATTAGTTATGAAACTAGAAATAGGCCTAAGATCTTGTGAACCTTTTTCCCCTCGCTATATGTGATTTAGTGTATGGACAACATAATTTAAAACAGGGGTGTTTCTGGTAGCCCTCTCCACCAATGGTGCTCTTGAGGGGGACAATAATATCAAAACCATAGAAAAAAATCTGGGTAACATGAGGCAGACAAAAAAATCTAATTTGGACACTCAAGTGGACGGCTGATCATAAAATTCCTTTGATAAATATTGGCACACTTCCCTTCCTCAGGAAGTCTGGACACAATGAACCCAGACCACTCTAAGGGCCTACAGTATCAGACAACTAGAGGTGGCTATGATAAAAGAAGCATTAAAACCATTAACCACTAGGGGCAGAATCCCAAGAACCCAGTATGAAGACCCACAACCCACAGCATGTCCTCATACCGATAAAAAACAAGCCAACGTAACAACATCAAAGACACCAGAACATTACCAAAATCCAGTAGATAGTGGGGCAGTTCAAATTACAGCACGAACAAAAGACACCTTTGAACCCAATGCCTTTTCTCGTATAGGAAAGGAGATAGATCATGGTGTGTGTCCACAACATTTAACCTGACATCGGCAATATCCAAGAACAAGCAGTCAGTCAAACCATCAAATGTAACATATAGTTCTCATACATACATCTAAAAGTATGGTACCCTAATGCTAAAGCCCATTCAGCACAACTACAAACACTGGTCTTATTAAGAGGTGGACTCCCCATTCAGACCAAGTCAAATGTTCTTTAAACCACCAAATACAAATTCTACATTAAATGCTGTCATTACAAAGGTCATATATGAAGCTGATAAGCTTTCTGAAAAGCAGAAGAAAGTTTGGAAATACAAGCAAACAAAAGATGAAGCAGAGGCACTTAACAGTCTTTCAAAAAAGAGACAATATTGTCATAAAATATGCAGATGAAAGCAGTTGAAGTTTAGAGTAGAGCTATATATTTAACCCAGTACTTCCACCAGTTGAATGAATATTATTCTTTGGCCCCATTTAATCCTTTGGAGATCATGAAAACAGAACTCACAGATGTTAAGAATGGCTAAAACTGAGCAAGGGATAACTAAGAATGAATATGATTTTCTGTTAAATGCACATCTTCACCTCCCCCTCGAATTGTTAGAAGAATGATTGATTTATTTTCTCTAGTAGTAACCCATTTGTGGATAAAATAAGATGGTGGGGGTTGTACATTGATGATGTCATTTTGCTTTTTTCTGACTCAGAAAAGGAACTTTTGGAATTTCATGCTTAGGCAAATAGTATAAATAAGACCCTGAAGCTGAGCTTGCAGTATGACCACAGTGTTATTAATTTCCTGCATTAGAACATTTCTGTGGATGAACTCAATTTTCAATTCAATTCAATTGAAGGGCTCCATGCTAAGTTCTCTTCTTTCATCTCTGTATACAGTGGTGGAATAGGTACTCAGATTCTTTATTTAAGTAAAAGTAGTAATACTACAGTGTAAAAATACTCTGTTACAAGTAAAGGTCCTGAATTCAAATTGTTACTTGAGTGAAAGTGCAAATTATTAGCATAAAATATACGTAAAGTACCAAAACTAAAAGTATTCATTTCTGAAAGGTACAGTTCCACATTAATGTATATCATATCACTGAACTATAATTATTGATGTATTATTTCATCCATCATATTTATTACAGCTGGTAATGGGGTTACTAATGTTAAAGAGCCCATTGCATGCTTTTGCATGTTTTCTGACTTATCTGAAATGTTACAATGGTGAATTATCATCTTGGATCTTTTTCCTAACAAAATAAAGCATTGTGTGATAGTTTAAGGATTTCACTGAATGGTCATAATCTCCAGGCAGTGGGCCATTCATGTGAGATTGCCTGACATCTGCTGGTGCCATTTTAAAAGAGGGATTTTTTTGATTGCACATGGTTTTGTGGATATATTTTACCTCCTGCTGCTGCATTGTGACCAGAGAATGTGAAGAAAAATACAGGGCCCGAGGTTACTGCATGCTCAGGAATGTTCCTGTACAGGGACTCACCGTTCTACACGACCAGGTCTAACCTACAACAGCTGACCAGTGAAGCCCCCTGCGGTGGTGAATGATCAACTCATCAACCCTGGATTTCCCCAGAGCACAGTACCTCTTTGTTTTAACTGCTTGAGGCCAATGTGTCTGCTGCATGTGATGTGTTGCGGATTAACGACCCATGATGTTTATTGTCAGTGCTACACTACCTGTTGGAATTAATTTCACTACTTTGGGACTGTATGTGGTCGTGTGGGGAAGACACAGTGACCACCGGCTGGATTTACCAACCTTGGAGCTACTTGAAAGGGAGTGATGTTTCCACTACTTGGTGGGACTTAACGGGAAGTTTTAAAAAACACATTGCATGTCTGTTAATACCTTGTTTCTATAATGCTGGAAAAAATTGTTGTAAAGTTGGAGAAGTTACTATGTTTGCATTATGCAAGCTAAAATATGGGGTATCTCAATTACCTGCTATGTTACACATCTCTTTTCATCGGTACATATACAGTACCATTGTTTACCTATCTATGAAGGAGAAATTCAAATTAATTAATGCCAGTGCAGTTCATCGTGCTGTCCACTTGCAACACAACACTGGCAGCAGGTGTGTGCATTCACAAACTATCCTCTTATTTTTAGAAAGAGGCTTTTTGGTTTTATTATTCTGAAATAATTTGGAATTATGAGGGGTGCCAGGATAATCTAGAGGTACCCAAGATTAAACATTAAATGGCTGGAAATGAGAAAAATTAGCAAGCCATGGGCACTTTAACTGCCTTATATGCTTATACAGTACAAGATTCAAAATTTTTATTTGCCATTTATGCATAAACAGACAGTGTAGGCATAAAGGAATTCTTGTGCTCTCTTGGAGTCAAGTAAAGAGTTTAAAGCCAAAAGAATGAACACCTAGTCTAAATATAATATCACCCAGGGATACAAAAGAATACAAAATACAAAATCACGAATGCCCAAGAATACAAAATAGTTGATAAAATTGTGGCTACAGGAATAAGATAGCAGTACTTTGAAGTACTTTAAATACTGCTGGGTAGCTTGTGAATTTCACACCAGGGATCAATAAAGTATTATGAAAATACTATATTTTGTTTAATTAATCTCAGTTTGAGTAACTAGCAACTACAGTGATGAAATAAATGCAGTAAGTAAAATGTACAACATTTTTTCAGTAAAATGTACAGAAGTTGAAGTATAAAAAAGCAGAGAATGAAAACATTCAAAGTACAGATACCTCAAAATTGTGCTTAAGTACAGTACTTGAGTAAATATACTTAGCTACTTTTTACTTCTGTCTGTATACTTATGACTGTACACCAATTTATAGCACAAATACAATCATAAAATATGCTGACGATGCTCCTGTAATTGGCCTGATGCAAAATGCTGACAAGTCAGCCTTCAGAGATGAGGCCTGTAATCTCTTTTTGTGGTGCTCCATCAATGACCTGGCAATCAATACCTCCAAAACCAAGAAGCTAATCATTATTTTCAGGAAGCAGAAAGATGAACCTGCTCTGTTATATATTAGAGGGGATATAGTGGAGAGAGTGAGTAGCTTCAAATTCCTGGGCACACATGCTGTTTCTCTCACGACCTGATATGGATTGTAAATACAACCTCTTTGGTGAAAAGGGCACAGCAGTGGCTCTACTTCTTAAAAACACTGAAAGGAACCAACCTCTCACAGCAGCTCCTTCTGTCTCTGCTCAATTGAAAACCTTCTAACTTACATGTGGAAGCTTGCCAGCTGTACTGGGGCTGACAAGAAACCTCTTTAAAGAGTCATAAAGTCAGCATAGAAAATAACCAGCACAGAGTTACCTTCACTTGAGGACATATAGAGATGTAGATGTCTACTCTTGACCGTAAACGTAATCAAAGACTCACCCAGGAAACCACCTTTTTACTCCTCTGCCCTCTGGAAGGCGGTATACTAGGTCTATTAAGACCTATACCTGTTGATAAGTCTGTCTCTAGACCTTTTTCTAGACCTTTAAACTGTTATTTATCCAAGTACCATTAAACACTGTTAAAATCAGCTGAAAATCATGCAAAAAAAACCAGCAACAAACAAACAAACAAAAACCTGTCGGGCAATGGTATCCTACTGAAAGGTTTATGATGTGCAATATCCACTCTACTGGCACTCTTAGATGGACTTGATACAGATTATAGTATCTGCTTATACTTATACTTAATTTTTCTATTTGCTTTTTATATTTATTAGTGTGTAGATTTCTTGTATATGTGAGTGTGGACTTTAACGCTGAGCCACTGAATTTCATTGTACAAATAAAGACATTCTCTTCATCTATTCTGTTATTCTCAAGCTAAGCTCCATGAGGTGTTTCCTGAACCGCCAGGAGTGAGTTTCAGACATCCACTGACACTCGCATACAAACTGGTTTCAGAGTTATTTACCAGCTCAGAAGTGGGACATTTGGCTCAAAAAATCAAAGGGAAACTGCATTTGTAGACTCTCCAACTACTATGGCAATATGGTAAAAAAGTAAGGTTTTGATCATGTTTTTCACATGACAGTTATTCCAGTTATGGGTTTTGTGAACTGCAACACCACCCATTGCTTTAGAGCACGGTGGCTATTTTCATATAGGCCAGAACAAAAGAAGACTGAGAGAGAGAGCAGCTGAGCATTGCTGTTATACATGCTGGGATTACAGTACAATGTATCCTAAGGCCAGGCATTAGCTAACAGTGCAACATGACAGTGACTCTACTTTGAGTTATTGGCATAGTGGCCATACTTCTGGACGTGAGAGGGGGTGACAGACACCTTAAACAACTCAAGGCATCCTGAATCTACAGCCTCAGAGCCACAGGTTATTCAGGCCTAAATGAAGAACTTGATCTCTCTCCTTTCCTATGAGAGAAAAAGCATTTGGCTGAAAGATTAGGCTAAAAATGTATTGTACTGTGAACTGTAGAGCTGTACCCAACTAAGGATTTTGTCAGTTGACTGTCAGTTGGCTCTTCAGTGACACTATTCATTCTTTTACTCTCTTTCCTTTGTAATAAATAGCCTAGACTGTCAGAAAATCAACTGGCATGAATTTCAGTGATGATTTTGATCACAATAACATCGGTATTTAAATGCAAAAGAGTGACAAGAACATATTTCTGAACATTTAAAAAAAAATAAAAGAGAGCTGCATATGATGCAAGATTTAAATTGCGACCTATTTAAATTGATGATATGTAATGTTGGACTGCCATATGGATTTGTCTTAATAATGCGATAGGCAGCACACTTGTATTTCTGTCGAAACAATGCTATTATAGGCAATTTGTTCTTCTGAGACATGGTTATAGTCTAGTTTATCAACAAGTTTGAACGTTTCTTGTCAATTAACCACAGTGCATGTTGTTACTGAACATTTGATGTGTACCAGCTTGCACTGCGAACGATTCCTCTTATTTATAATTTCTCATTGAAATGCTTTTCCTGGACCATTTTTGTTAGCTTCCTAGCCCTGTTTGCATGGATATGTTGCTGTGCATTGTGCTTTAATGGACATGGGTAAACAAACCGGTGTTACACCACAATCTGTGACCCATCAAATTTTGTGACCACAGGGGCACTGTTGCACATTTTTATCCTTTCTTGCATCGACAGTGAGCTAGAAGAAGAGCGTGTACAGCTGGTCAGAAATGGTGACCTCTGTCATATTGGCTCTGTGATGATCACAAATGAGAACAAGTCTGTGCAAAATCACTATGAGAAGAAGACAGAGCTCTTGTTTTTGTATAGGTACAGTAAAGGCACATATCCTAATAGGAACTAGTGACCTGTATTGGGTTGGCTCTGTGTTGATCCCATTCTTGAATACCTTTTCCTAAATGAAGGAGACAGGTTTACACAGCATAGAAAACATTTTGTTGGTGACTGACATAATTGTTTTGCAGGTACAGTAGACTGACATCTTCTAAGGACTACACATACCCACTGAGCTGTTTCTTTGAATAGTCTTTGTTTCCTTAGAGTAAGTACAGTAACAATAAGTAACAAATGGTATTTCCTTTACATTGACATATACCATGCCTGGAGTGATTAACATAATCAACCAAAGTTAATGGTCTCTTTCTTGATAGAAAGCAGCAATATTCACTCTGTACATCCATGGGTCACATGGGCTGGGCAAACAGTGGCAGTCCAGTCACACCAGTAAAAGTGGAAACACTATGGCCACACTTGGACTAGTTTACATGCGTGCTCTTCTTCTGGCTCACTGTTGACACAACAATGTGCAACAGTGCCCCTGTGGTCACAGTATCTGATGGGCTGGAGATTTCAGTGTAAGACCAGACTCACATAACATTTGGCTATGTAAAACCAGCCATTTCGTCACAATAGTCTCTTCTCATGTAAAAATAGAACACAATATTTGAAAACAGTTCTAATAAAGTACAAATTTCAACTTTATGTAGCTCATCCTAGTGGGTTTTGTTGGTGTTTTCTGCTCCTACTGTGATTTGCTAAATAGATCTGACCTTATTGAACATCCACGTATCACAGTGTCACTGTTGAAGTGGGTATTCCCCCCACCAGACCATAGGGGGAAGTATTGAGCAAATTGGTGCTTCGCACACCAAGATGAGAAGACGGAAATCATGACAAACTAGAGCTATCTTCTGTTGTAATACACACTGGCTGACAATAAAAAGAAATATAATAAAATAAAAACAAAGGTTCCTCTAGAAGAGTCTCAGTTGACTGACAGGTCTCGTGACTAATGACTTGACTGTTCGACTATTTGGTGGCAGCCCTAGTGAACTGTCCGTCTATCTATTGGAGTTTGGTAATGTTCTGTTGTCTTTGACGTAGTTATAATTGGCTAGATTTTTTTTTTTTATTGGTGTGGGGACATGAGGTAGGCAGTGGGTCTTCATGTTTTGTTCTTGGGATTCTGTTGTGGTTAATAGTTTTAATGTCTCTCTTATCATAGCTACATCTGTTGGCCCGATAGGTCCTTAAATGTATGTACTGGCTTCACTCACCACAAATGCATGGAATTGTTACCTACTGGTCTGAGTTCATTGTGTGTTAAGACACCATGAGCAAGGCATGTGCCCATATGTGTTGATGTGTGTTAGCCCATATCCATTAAAGGCATGTTTATTATCAACTATCCACTCTCTGATCTGGGATTTTCTCAGTTACATTTTAGCCATGGCAATTTTGTTGTTTGTTTTAATAAATGCATACTGTTGTGTTTATATTACAAGAGTCAAAGCAGAGTGGCTGATTTCTGAAATGCAAAGAATCATACATGTTATAGTTTTGTTAAAAATTTGCTCAAACAGCATGCTGGTTTGAAAAAACAGCATGCATATATCTATATACAGTATGTTCTGTGTAGTTCTGTGCTGCATTTATCTTATTTTGAAATGTAAAGACATGTATGTACTGAGCACTGAGGACATCACATTGCCATGTTTTGAATACTTGCTACACCTCCAGCTTCAGATGATATTTTGTCTGTGTGCTGCTGGGAGTTTTGGAAAATACTACCACAAACAATACTGTATGTCAAAAATAAAAGCCCCTGTGTGCCTTAGTATAGTAGCTCATGCACCAGATGCAGTCACTTTCACCATGCTACAGGGTAAACATAAACAAAAAGTGAATTTTGTGTTGTTTCAGTGCATTACAGCCTACATCTAAACTAAGCAGTGCAATTTATTGCTTTTCTATTTTAACATTTTAATTTAGTCTCATAAAAAAGAATGACTAATTATTCTTTTTTCTTTCTTTCAAACAATCAGCTGTTAACAGCCAAATCAAGGAAAATGCATGTTTTTCTGTTTTCTATCTACATTTGTATTAACAATGCAGTGAATAATTAATTTAATAGTTGCATGTGGTCAAACTGCACCATTTCATTTGTTATTCTTCCCTCATTCTCCTGCATTTAGTTTCTCAATCTCCATTCTTCTTCTGCTGATTCTTTCTTTCAAACCTAACACACTCTATGATATCTATTCTTTTCCCCCCTTTCTCTCTCCCTTCATGTTGACTAGGTCTCTCGCGCTCTCTGAAGCGGGCCCATTGGAGTGTGCTGGGCAGGTCACGGCAGTCTATTCACGGCCGAATAAAGAATGACACATTAGAAAAAAAGAGACAAATTTGGCCATTCTGGAATCAAAGAACAATTTTCCGCTCTATTAGAAGGAGGCCTTTTTGTTTCCCACTTGCTATTCTTCTATTACTGTGTGTGTATGTGTGAGTATGGATATATTTGTGTATGTGTGTTAGTTTTTGTGTTTGCCTGACACTGTGAATTTGATTTGTGCATGAGAGCATTTTTAGTCTTGAAGACCTGTCATACAGTATTTATTTGATTGTGTGTTTGCCTCAGTTGGATGTATGCATGTTGTGTGTTAGCAGGGACTCACGCTCCATAGGCAGGGATCGGTGGAGGAGGAGGTGCCGCACGGAACATGTTGTAGACAGCCCGACCCCTCCCTCTCAAATGGGCCCCTCTATAGGCCACGGCTGCTCCCGTGCTAGGGTATGGAAAGCCTGTAACTGAAAGACACACACACACACACACACACACACACACAGAAGCATTATATTTTACAACTATAAGTTTCATTTTCTTCTTTGCATAAAATCACTTTGAAACATTGTAAGTCTGTGGCTGCTTTTGGGGTATAGTTTGCATACTGTTAAGAAAATCCAGGAAAAGACCAAAACCAACCATGAGCTAGTTTGTCTTGTAATACTTTGGACTTCTCTGTCCTGTCTGTGCCCCTCTCAGCCCCAAGCCCTCTTTCCTACTGAAGACATTTCCTAAAACAGTTGGATAGTAGTTTTCAACAAATGTCACTAAAACAGGAGGAAGTAATTTGTTGAAGACTATTTTCAGTTGTGCATTGATAGATATTTGCATCAATACAGCCAATTTTTTTTTAAAGTTTTTCACAATTCCAGTAAAATATTGTAAAGTCTGATGCTCTTTGGGGGCCATAAACAAGAATCACCATTAACAGCAGGCTATTTGATGGTACAATTTTTCACAAGCTGTAGCTGGTGGTATTTTCATTTCTGCATTTAGGATGGAATGAGCCACATCCAACAATAAGGTCAGTAAAATCATTTTGTGAAAGTAAAATTACATTTTTGAATTTGATTAACTAATTGATTTTATTAGTAGTACTGTTATCATCATTATTATTGGTAATTTTTTTTATTTACTTCCCCTCCTTTTCCCTTTCTTGCATTTCATAGACTGCATAAGTTGGAAATACCCACACTTCACACACTACAACCTTGTTAAACACTTTATATCATTTTGTAATGTCATGTAACTGTTGTCTTGTCTGCCATGTTTAGTACTGTTTTGTTAATGTGTTATTTTGTTTCAATAAACAAAACAAAAGAAAAGTTGGACAGGCATGTCTTTGATAATGGTGACCTATGGGGAAAATAATTTTTTGTTGCTGTACTGCAGCTATAAACAGGGACAAATCAGCAGCAATATAGTTGCACTAATATGCAGCCTTGGTTTTAGATGGGCTATTCAGTATTTCTTCAGCAGCTGGCAGTTCATTATTTTGCAGGTTTGAATGTGCTTGTTTTTAATGCTTTTTGACTAGGTTACATCTACACTTAAGTTAGTTAATACTAATGTAAGACCTGCCTAACATTGGCTTAAAATTTTTTTAATCATCAGCTTATTTTGCTGTAGAAGTGGGATTCTTTTTCCTTTATTACCCTTTAGATAGTTGACTGATTAAAGTAGATTAAAGGCCCATGGCATGCTTTTCTGACTTATCTCAAATGTTACAATGGTGAATTATCATAGATATTTTTCCTAACATAATAAAGTCTTATGTGATAGTTTAAAGATTTCCTTGAATGGTCATAATCTCCAGGCAGTTGTGCATTCATGTGAGCTTGCCTGACATCCATCAGTGCCATTGTAGAAGCGGATTTTTTCGACAGAACCTGGTTTTGTGGCTATATTTTACCTCCTGCTGCTGCACTGTGACCAAGGGATGTGGAGAAAAATACAGGGCCCGAGGTTACTGCATGTCCTGGAATGTTCCTGTACAGGGAACCTGTTCTACTTGACCAGGTCTAACCTACAAGCAGCCAGACAGTGAAGCCCCCTGCGGTGGTGAGTGATCAGCTCATCAATGCTGTATTTTCCCCATAGCACAGTACCTCTTTGTTTTAACTGCTTGAGGCCAATGTGTCTGCTGCATGTGATGTAACGACCCATGATGTTACTGTCAGTGCTACGCTACCTGTGTGAATTCATTTCACTACTTTGGGACTGTATGTGGTAGTGTGGGGGAAGATGCAGCGACCACTGGTTGGATTTACCAACCTTGGAGCTACTTGAAAGGGAGTGATGTTTCCACTACTTGGTGGGACTTAACAGGAAGTTTTTAAAAAATCACACGTTGCATGTCTGTTAATACCTTGTTTCTGTAACGTTAGAGAGAATTGTTGTAAGGCTGGAGAAGTTACTATGTCTGCATAATGTCAAGCATTTCTCAATTGCCTGTTTTGTTTAGAGTGTTACATATCTCTTTTCATCGGTACATACGCTATACTGTTGTTTACCTGTCTATGGAGGAGAAATTCAAATTAATTAATGCCATCACAGTTCATTGTACTGTCCACATGTGTCAGAACACCAGCAACAGGAGTTGTGTGCATTCATGAACTATCATCTCATTTTTAGGAAGAGGCTCTCTGGTGTTATCATTCTGAAATAATTACAGACTATTTGCATTCTACAAGAATGTAGAATGTATATCTGTATTTTTAATAGTAATGTCATTCAAGTGTTATTTCATTTCTATTCATGTTACATTTTGTGAGTTGCCTGATCTTGTCTTGTATGTTAGGCGCTTCATTGGGATTAGCCTCAAGAGGGGAACGCAGTCCAGCCACAGACAGATGGTGTCCAAGAAGACAGGCAGGCTTGTTTCGAAGAAGGCACAGAGAGTAAATCAGCATGTCACTGCTCTATTAATAAACCTGATGGATTTTGAGTGACACTTCATAAAGGTAAGTTAGTGTAAGTGTTCCTTCATTTTTCAAAACTGTTTATTTAACCTTCTAATTGTTTCATCAATTGTTCTCTCTCTCTCTCTCTCTCTCTCTCTGTCTATCTTTCTGTTCATTTTTCACTTTTGTCTTATGTACTGTACTGTATATCTCATGCAGTGAGCAGTCAGAATGGACCCCTGAATGCCAGTCCTCAAACAGAAGCCAATTCAAGGCATCATAAGAAGTGTTTCTGTATTTTTTATCCTGTTTAAAGTTGATCTCTTATATATTGTTTCCAACATTAAATGTGATGTACACAATAATATTTCAGTAATTACAATCTGATAACCTGATATACATTCAAGTGAAATGTGCCATTCTACATAATGACTTTTGGTATTTCAAGTATATTTTAATGCTAAAACTTTTGTACTTATGTAACATTTATATGTAAGACCTTTAATTGTAACAGAGCATTTGTACACTGTGGTATTTCTCCTTTTATTTAAGTACTTCTTCCACCACGACCATTAAAATCATTACTTTTTGTCTTAAGTGTTTTAGTTTTATACAGTTTACAGGTCTGAGCTTTCTTTTGTTTTTTCTTTTGTTTAACCTAAATTGTACAGTTTTCTTACAGGTGAAATGATGAGGAGGAGATTAAATATAAAATAAGACACAATCTTGTAGTAAAAGGCATTTTGCAAAGCCTTCTCTAAAATTTCAATCAAAGACCCAGGGATTGATATTTCAACAGAAGTTTAAGGACATTGTTACAGCATGGCAAACTGTGGGCTTGCAGATAAGGCCTGAACATGTGAACCCATAAAACTGAACCCAGGTGTTCAAAAGGGTGGCAGTTTAAAAGTGTGACTGGATATAATTTGTTTGATATCCAGGTAATAGAAGCTGTAGTTGACTGGGTTGTACACATCCGAATGGAGAATATTTGATATTGATTTAAAATGTTGTTTTACAAAGGCATGTGCAAAAATCAGAAGCATAAAATGGGAATTCACATTTAATGTATCTGCAACAAGTAATCAGGAATTCTGTGTCAGATACTTTGATATAAGTTTGAGAGGAATTCATACTACTGTTCACAATCTGTTAGACTTAGATGTCTATCAATATACTTGACTAATACAGATGGGTGTCAAATTAAAGGAAAACCCCAAATAAAGTGTCTTAGTAAGGTTTTGGGCCACCATGTGCCACAAGAACCTTGGGATTCATTTGACAGGTTTCTGAACTACTGGAGGTATGAACACCATTCTTCCAAAACATATTCCCTCATTTGGTGTTTTGATGATGGTGGTGGAGACACCATCTAACATGCCAGTCCACAATGTGCCATAGGTGTTCAAATGGGATGGGATCGGGTGTCTGTAAAGGCTGTAACATAAGATTCATATCATTTTCATAATCACTCCTCATGCCCTGTGGATGGGGGTACTGTCATCCTGGAAGAGACCACTCATTTATTCAGGGTTTTTCTTTAATTTGACACCTATTTGTGCAGTATATTTTGTGTGTATAATTTAATATAGAACCTTCAACACTATCACCTGTGGGCAGTAAACCCTACCACATACAGATTATTGCTTTACAAATTAATATACAGTAAAGCACCTTGGACCTCAGAGAGGCCCTGGAAATAGATGACTACACCTGTTGTCTGCAGCAGCAGAGAAAAACATAGTTTGCTCTACAGAAGACCAAAATATTCGGTCCCTCTCACCCCTCCATTTATCTAAAGTGATGGAAATTCTTTACCATGTGTTGTTCCTATCGCTGCATACTCTTAAATAGTTAGACAAAATCATTCATATGTCACACAGCCAGCACAGTCCACTGGTGATATATTCTGAGCAACAGATCAATTTCCCTCAAGCTAACTTCATCTTCCCTCACTTTCTTAATATGAGACATCCATACATTCATCCCTCTTGTGTGTGTATGACAGAACATGAGGATGTGCATGTGCATGTTGCTGTTGCTGTGATGTACAGTGTATGAATGCGATTTGATGATGAGCTATGGGTTGTGCATGCTACAGTGGTGCTGTAATAATCCAAGAAAAATGGTGGGGCCTCCTCCTGACAGCCAGGAGTCCCATAAAATGAATAAACAACAATATTTACAGATACACACATGCATAAAGTAGTACAAGAGTGCACTCAAGTCTGCATGCAGATCTTGCACAACATCATATAATGTAGGCGCTGAATGAGAATTGCTTGTGATGTTAGCAGGAGTTGTTTACAATAAGAACAAATCAAATACAGTTATAAAATGTCTTAAATTAAATTATTTTCTGTACATATGCACTTATTTTTTGCAGCTGACCTTGTGTGTGTGTATGTGTCTAGATCTCTCTGTTATTAATACATCACTCCTCAATTCCAGGACAGTGATAGAACCCACAGGTTTTATTGCTGTGTGGCTAACTGGGTTTTAAATTGATTCACAGAAAAACAATCTACATGCTACAATACAGTGAGGCTGCTATACATTAG